CTTCCTTCCTTCCTTCCTTCCTTCCTTCCTTCCTTCCTTCCTTCCTTCCTTCCTTTTTTTCTTTCTTTCTTTTGAAATCCTTGGTGTCAGTCACGTTTCTTCGTATCGGTTCATAACTTGCCGTATGCACATTGCACACCTTTGTCCAGGCCTAAATATTTTAAGCTTTTCCCTTATCAGGTAAACACACAAGCAGGCATCTCAATGAGGACTGCTTATTTATTAGTGCTCTTATTGGTAGCTACTGTCAGCACAGTGTGCCTTGATGGACATGCGACTGTGTGTCCTTCACAAGGGAAGCTTTGATCCTGTCCTTTCCCCCTGGTGAGTCAGAACAGCAAAGACCCAAAAGCTGCAATGCCCTGGGCTGAGCTTCCCCCATGGCCCCTGCAGAGCTTCCAGCCTCCCTTCCTCTGTGTGTGTGTCTGCTATTGGCCTCTGGCTTTGCCCAGGCAGGCAGGCAGCTGGTGGTGCCTGTGGATGGGAGCCATTGGTTTCACCATGCAGATGGTTGTGGAGAAACTCAGCCACAGAGGGCATGACACGAGGTGAAGGCAGTGGGACCAGAGATGAATTGGCAACTGGGATGACCCCTGAATTTTATGGTAAAGTCTTATTCAGTTTCTCACACTCTGGAGGATCTGGACCACAAATTCAAGGCTTTTATCAGCAAGGAAAGACACAGGAAGATAATATACTTTCTCTGTAAATGAGTCGGGTGAATGGTGTTTTTGAATTTTTTTTCACACTGAAGAAGCTTGTTTAATGATAAGAAGTTAGTGAGCACTTAAAGCCGAGTTTATTTGCTGTTGTGTTTCTGGATCCACTCTCATCCATGGTCTTCAACAGGGGAATATTTTGCCACCATCTTAAAAAGTGTGCTCAACGACGTAGTCCTATTTCTTAACATTCACAGAGCTCTTTTGAGATCCACAGGCACCATGATTTCCAAAGGATGTGAGGGGAACCATCTCTACTATATGAGGGAGTGTTCACTCTGCCCCTGGTTTTTCAAAACTGCCCTAGAAACTGCCTCTGAAGTCTCCGACCTGCCACAGTGCATGACCTCTTTAGCCAGGTTTGGTTGTCACACACTGATTTAGTGTTATAAGTCCCCCAGACCTGTGATGTCCAACATGGCGGCAGCTGCCATCAGGGAAATCCACTGCTCCAGCTATATTATCTCTCCTTGAAGAAGAATGAGCTGGCTCCCTCGTGAGTACTTACCTAGTATGTGTGAAGAAGCCCCAAGTTTAATCTCTGATTACCTACTGTGCTGCCGGCTTTTATGTCAACTCTATATCAGCTAGGATCAGTTGGGAAATTTCCTTCATAAGATTTGCTTGGAGGTCCGCTGTTCTGCATTGTCTTAGTCACTGATTTAGGAGGGCCCAGTTTGTTGTGGGTGCCATCTCTGGGTAGGTGGTCCTGGGGTGTATAAGACTCAGGCTGAGCAAGCCACAAGGAGCAACAGTAAGAGACATTCTTCCCGTGGTCTCTGCTTCAGAGCCTGCCTTCAGTTCCTGCTCTGGCTTACCTCAGTCATGGACCATAAGGAGTAAGATAAAATGAACCCTTTCCTCTCCACCTTGCGTTTGAGCATGGTGTTTTAATACAGCACTAGGAGTCTTAACTAAGACACCCATGAATCAGGCTCTGGACATTGGGAAAGCAGAAATTTTGTCTTCAACTGCTCTTCTCATTTACATTCACTGCAATTAGGATTCTTGGTTTACTGATTTACTTTGTACTAATTCTTTTACTGAGGGCCTGAAGATTTTTTTTTTATATAAACCTGTCCTTACCGCTAATCAAGCATAGTCACATATCATTTCTTAGCTGCCTTTCTTATTACTGTTCTGAAAAAAAAAAAAAAAAAAAAACAATAGTGAAGACCACAATAAGAGATGAAAATTACCTTGCCTCAAATCCCAAGTTATTTCACGTGGCAGCAGTTTTAGCAGTGTTGTGCAAGTCCTGTGTGTCTGCACATGTCTAACGTAAATCATTGCACCTGAAATTAGCATAGAATCCAGTGTCAGGCTTGGCATAATGTTCTTGATTTTCCTTTTTGATTTTCCAGGTAGTCATAGATATTATTCCAGGTACTTCTTGACATTTCCCACTGAAACGATTGCATAAACATTTCTAATTTGGTGACATTAAAGATCAGTTTAACCAGCAAACGTGGAGATATTTTCCAACTTTTGCTTTTTAAGAACCCGGCTGTGCTAAGTACTCTGAAATGCTTTTCTTACACTCAGTGTTTCCACACACTTGGCTAATCCCCACAGGCCAGTGTTCCAGGGAGCAAGGTGGGTGGGTCGGGTGGTATACGCACCTCCTCTATTTTAATATACTCGGAAAAGTAGTTTCTGATCTTCACACTAACATAAATAGATCATGGGAATTTGGGTCTCCTCATATCCTCGCCATTTTTAAAAGTCTGTTGATTTTCTGCAGAAATGTCCTGCTCAGGGACTTCAGTTTTCACTGCTTGTTTCCTTGGGCATGTAGGTCATTTGCGTGTCTTCTTTAGTGAGTTACATGCTCACATTCTATAGTCGAGACAGGAATGTTTGATGATGAGCTCCTTTAAAGGTCTTGAGGACTAGGCATACCAACACTTAGCATTTTATATTTATATATATTATATATAATATATATTTATATATAAATATATTTAAATAAAATCTTTATATATTTATATATTTATTTATATATGTATATATAAATATATATTTAAATAAAATCTTTGTATATATTTATAAAGATTTTATTTATTCTTTATGCATCATTCCATCTGCGCACCAGATCTCACTATAGATGGTTGTGAGCCACCATGTGGGTGCTGGGAATTGAACTCAGGACCTCTGGAAGAGCAGCCAGTGCTCTTAACCTCTGAGCCATCTCTCCAGCCCTACCATTTTCCTATGCTCTGCAGACATGTCTCCACTGATGGCTCTTCATCTTATCCCACTTGAAATTTTCACTTTGCAGGAATCAAAATAGATAAACTTTATCTTTGATAATGTTTTTATTTCAGCTTGTTAATTTCTATACCAGCCAAACATACACGTTTTCCCCATGCTGCGGTTAAAGCATTTAACTCTTCCTTTGTTAACAACTTTATTTCACTTTTTGGTAAGAGGTTTTTAAAGGACATCGCATAAAGGATGCATTCTCTGTGACTTCTCAAAGGATGGCCTTAATATCACTCTTAGTTCCATTACTCGGCCTCTAAACTAAGTTGCATGTTTATCATATTTCATTTTAATTTTTCGGCTCACTTTTTATTCTTGCCCCACTGACTGACTTACCCACCTGGGTTCAGACCCTCTCCTGAGTTAGCAGCTTTGTATGGCAGGTTAGTGTCTGGGAGATCTACCC